TATGTGTAATCTGTACAATATCGATATTGTTTATGATTTTTATTCATATCATTCAATCGGCACGTAATCAGAACTAAGAGTACTTACATATAACAGACGATATATGAGACGGTATATACGTAATATTGAGTTTGCTAACTGTGTGATTTGATCAGCGTTTCGCATAACACAGACTAGCATTGTAAATGTCGATGAAAAACGTAACATATGATCATAAATTCATCACCATTATAGCGCGATATGCGAACGAGGAAAACGTTTGATTATAAATGTTCCACGTGCAAATACGAATTACGAGTCATATATTTTATTTAATGAGTTTCCCTTTTTTTTTTTCGAGATATTTTATAAATGTTTATCTAATTGACAATTACAAATATTTTATCATTTCAAATATAAATTAGATATGGAATTTAAAGTGTGAGAATTTTTTTAATCTATTGAAAGTAGTTGTTAAGAAGAAAGAAGTTGAATATTTATTTAAATCAATCATTAATTGCAATATATTTCGTTATAATTATTATTTATTTTTTTTTTATATAGAAATTTATATCAATAAATATTATTAATAAATTCCGTATTATATTATATTATAAATATAATATACAAAAATAAAATTTTTCTATTTTTTTTTTAAATTGTATTTTTAATTATATATTTTTATAATAAAATTGATTTAATAAATAAATTAGGAAATTAAAATTGTAATTATATACGTATACGTTATATGTGATAATGTTATATTTTATTGTGCAAAATATTTTTGATTATATTTATTTTTTTTTTAAGATGCTATTATGTATATATTATATCAATATTTGAATATTTAATAATACTAAAAAATATCCATTTTCTAGATATTATTATGAGTTATTATAATTCTGTATTATATCTGCATAATTTTAATTATATAATTTTAATATTATAATTATAATTAGAAAGTACATACTAAAACGTGATATATAAATTGTTATAAGAATAATAAAATAATATTTTTAAAGTACAAATTTACTTACTACTGTCAAAATATGAATTACAATTATAATAACAAAATATATTTGTACAGTTTGAATTATTATAAGAATTTTTTTTAATTTAGTTAATTTTAATATATATCTTATGTATACATGTAAAAAAAAAAAAAAAAATTCAGTAATTTCACTAGAATCCAATTACTTGCACCTTTAGCTGGATCAGAGAAACTACTCTATAATTTAACGCTCTGGTTGGCACGTGTGTTCTTGACAAGAAATATGCAAATTTATTAGAGTAATTGCATGACTCTAACGAGGGGTCTTAAAGGTATAATTACCACTGTCCTATCAATGTCTGAATGAATTCGACTAGCTGGAAGAATTTGTAATATCAGGCACCCTATTCAAGTTATTCAATTGCGAAACTACCCTTTGCTAAATGTATTTTTTTAATAACTCCTTTATGTTAAATATTTTGTAAATTATATATTATCTAGAATTATTAATATTCTATAGAATATTAAATTATATATTCTATATAGAAATATAGAATAAAAAAACAAGAGATCAGAATTTTAAAAATAGATAGTATTTGTTAAATAAAAGAGACCTATTAATAATTTTTCAATTTTTAAGTTAAAATACATAGTTTATATAAAAAAAATGAATTATCATATCATTTCTTTTCATAAAAAAATTTTCTATATGTTTATATATGAAATAATTGAAAACATTGAAATGATAAATAAAATAAGAAAAAAAAGGAAAAAATGAAATTATAAATTATAGTATATGTACATTTTAAATGATATTTAAAAATAAAAATTCTATTAAAAAAAAAAGAATAAGTAATATTAATGATAACTTCAACAGTATCGAACAGTCGATTTAATTAATCGACTGTAATATATTTATTCTTCGATCGAAAAAAGAGATTCACAGGATAAGTTACTGGATTTATCGAGGATAGGAAGGATTTTGCCCGAAGCAGAAGAAAAAAAAATGCTACTAATTAAGAAGAGCGATTACACCTAACGGTATAATTAAGAGAAAAAAAGAGGAATTAGAGCCGATATTATAGCTAGTAAACGATTCTACCTGTAAAGATAGATTAATCGAACACGCAAGAAGCACAGCTTGTTTAACGAGACATAATATATTTATTTTTTTCTTGAATACTTTCTTTCGTTAGAATCAGAGACTGTGATAATTTTCGAAGCAAATATCTTGATATTTTATACTTCGCAAATTGTATACTTTTGATTGAATTAGTATGTAATATTAATTATAATATTAAAATCAGAAGAAAAAAATGTATTTTTAAGATAAAATGTATATATTTTACAGATAGAAAAAAATTGAAAACTATAAATATTACTTAAACATAATATATTAAAAAAATTTAAATTTGATAATAAATAATTAAAATCTATAAATAATTTTAACATTATTTTCACCATTTAAAATAATTACTATAAGAAAATCATTCTATTAATTTAAATATTTTCTATTAATTTAAATACTTTAATATAAATATGTTTTATAAAAAAATATTTGATAAATTATTATTAATTATTAAGTATGAATCCCAATGCTTTAATGTGTTTAAAAAATAGTTAAATTATTTTTTATAGAACATTTTTTCCATTTCAATATTAATTCAATAACAATAGATAGGAAAGCACAAGAATAAACCTATTCAATTACCCGAACAGAGCGTGTTTACATGTAAAACAAGTGGTTTATCGTGTTCATCGATGTGAGTAAGAGTTCTGCCTTTCTTACTAATGACCCAACTTCATTCCGAAGGGAGTCTACCTTTAAAGGCGATAATTGTATCCACATTCTTTTTCCGCAGAAAGTTAAACATTCTATCGTATCGTCGAAAGTTAAATATTTTAACTATCGTGATATATGTTCACATACAAAGAATTATTTTGTTACATTTAGTATGTTTGTTTAAATTTGTTAATAATAAATAAAAAATAAAAATTTTAAATAAATATAATGTTAAAAATATATAAAACATATTATATATAAATATAATGTTAAACAATATATATATAATAAAAATAATAATTTTTAATTTTTTCTAATTTAAATAATGAATATTGATAATATGTCTTATTGTTTGCTTATGAAAGTTTTATTTACATACCATTCATGTACCATATTTCTTTTTAATTGCTTTCTATGATTGCTTTCTTGAATATTTTCATAATTTGTTTCTTAACACATTTCTTCAGACAAAAATTTGTATATACATTGTATGTATTTGTATAAGAATAAAGTAATAAAGAAAAGAATACAAATAATATAATAAAATGTTTCTTCCATTCGTTTATTTTACTATAAAGCTGCATTTAATTTTCAAACTATATTTTTATAATCATTAATTATACTTATATGAATAATTATCTGAATAATAATCGAAAATAGAAAGTTTTATGTTTTTAATTTAAATAAAAAAAATTGCTATTTCTTAAATTCTCTGCATTTAATACATACACGTATATTTCTAAAACAAGTTTTTCAATTCATTGTTATTAACCTATGTTCGTTTTTCAGCGAGAGTGTTCCACTTCGAACTCCTAAAAAGAAAAGAATCTTTGTTGGAGAAGAAGAATCATGAAACAACCCCTTTGCCTCTCCAGAATCGCTCGAAGGATATAGAAGGAAAGGGGAAGGAGAGAAGTCGAATCGAAATCCTTCTCTTGGTCCTTCGCGAAAAGAAGGGTTGCATTCGGGCAAAGAAAAAAAGAGCTGCTAATTGACACGAGCGATTGCACGTAACGGTATAATTAGAGAGAAGAATACGGAGCCTGGACCGGTGCACCGATGAACCAATGAACCGGCCAGAAAGAAGCAAGAGAGGGGAAGGAGAGAAACAGAAAGGCAAAGGGAAGCAGGGGAGAGAAGCAGCCGGCAAGTTCTGTTGAGGGTAGTGATGGGCATTCAGTTTCTGCTATATCGTAAGTTTTCAAACAATTTATACTAACTATGTAATCTAATAAATAATTACCAAACTGTTTACATCTCTCTTCCTTACTTTTTAAACGAATTTGCTAAAGCATCTTTGTAACAAAACTTTAAGAATTGATTACTTTAATAATTAAAATGAAATTATAATATGTTGATAGTATTAATTTATATATATATTTTACCATTTTTTTATATTTTATCATTTTTAAATAAATTAATTAATAATTCGAGAATTCTGGAAAAAAATTAATTATTATAAAATATGAACATTATCTTAAATTTTAACATTATCTTAATTTATGTTTATAATAATTCATAAAAACGTAATTTGAAATGTATTACGTACGAATTAATAGATTAAAAAATATGAAAAATATTTATAACCTGCAAAAATATTTTTACATTTTTAAAAGTTATTACATGTTATTTTATTATCGTAATATAATTTTATTATTTTTAATTTGCAAAGAATTAATAAATTTAAATTATATTTTATAAATTTATCTTTTTAATTTATATTTAATATACTTACATGCAATAGTCAATAAGATCAATTTTTTCATACTTATATATTATATAAAAATATTAACTTAAATTATTAATTGAAATATTTAATCAAAACGATAAATTAAAATTAAAAATAGTGTAAAAAAGAAAAGGAAGCCTTAAAAGAAAAAGAAATCAAAAAATCTTGAAAAAACTTATTAAATAAACGGAGTTTATATAGATCAATCTCGAAGAAAAAATTGTCTTAACTGAACTGATCTACTAGTCACAATCGATTAGTGACATGTATCGATTTGTCATAGTTTCGATAGATGTCTCGCGAAACTCGTTCGATTATTATTCCAACGGACGATTATTTCATTATTTCGATAATAATATAAGGATGTTTTCGATATCGATAGAATTCGAACTGAATTCGTGGTGCCTTAAGGCCATCACTAGTCGAGGGGGTCTCCCTCTTTGGGAGTACGAGCAGGAGAGACCGATCCCGTGGTGTACAGGAGAGACAAGGGAACGGGAGAGAACGAAACGTACCATGGTCTCATGGATTCTGCCTGCACTCTGCGACCATTCCGCAGTAACACGTCGTCCAAGTCGGTTTCGCAGCGTTCCCTGGACCTAGCCTCTTGCCACGAGGCATCACTCATCCTCGAGATGCTCAAAGAACTGATTTATCGAGGGACCAATTTCTTTTAGTGATCCTCTTCTTCTCTGGATAAACTTTATCCTTCAAATGATTTTGATTTCTTGAAAAGTCTCTCGATCGGTGGAATTTCACGTGCCAAATATGGTTAGGATTCCTTGAACTCTTTGGTTTCGAGGTGGTGAACGGTGAACAGGATAACTTTAACAAGTTTCGCGTCAAAGGATATCGTGGCCGGCGATTCTCGAAACATTCGAGATAAAAGTCATTGGCTCTTAGGAATCAATTGTGTTTCGGTTGTTCCGATGACGTTTCGTTTTTCGAATCTAAAAAGATGAAAGATTATGAAGAAGGTCGAGAGGATTTTATCATGGTGAACAACGATGCTTGTCGTAAACGCCTCGAGGAGCGGAAGTGACAAGAATCTTTTGGTGTTTGAAGAGTTCACGGAATGATTGAGAATTAAAATGTGTTTACCCATTGGTGTTTCGAGTGACTGCTTTGGCTGACACTTCCGCGACCGGTTGTTCGACAAACAGGTGATCGCCGTTTCGTTTTGATTGACTTATTCCTTTTCTTTATTTATCAACGGTTGCATCTTGATTTTAAATCAGTGTCATTATTCGATAGAGATTTGTAATGTTTCTGATAAAAAGAAACATAATTAATAAATCAATACGAATTAACATAATAATCAAAATATTTTTGAATAAAATTTTTGATAAAAATGTTCACATTATAGAATTATTTTCGTACGTCATAAATTTTATAAATTTTGTGCTTTTAAATTTTATTTTAAAAGTTTAAAACTCATTTGAAACTTCATTGGTTTATTTATACATTTATTGAAATTTTAAATTTATTTATATTTTATTATTAAAACAGTTTTATTTGTTTTTCTTTATGTTACAATTATTTTCTCATTTATGTGTATTAAAGAAAAAATTCGATTCCAAAGTTTAATTTTTAATCTAGATTTTACAATTTCTTATTTTATAAAATAACACAAAAGTAAAGTTAATTTAAACTATCGCTGATGATATTTTATAATAGTTTTTTTATAACGAAAAATTATATAAAAAGCAACCCGTATACAAGAAAAGGAAATATGAAAAGAAAAGTTTGTTAGTAGGAAAGAATTTTTTTTCATTTATTATCTCATTTATTTGTGAAAATCAAGTGTTTCGATGTTTAAGATGAGATATGAGTTACGTCGTGTGAAAAATGATCGATTTCCCGCGAAATATCGGAAATTTGAAGAACGATACGATGGAAATGATCCAACACGGATTGTGTTATCGATATTAATTCAAAAGTAAAGTGGTTCTCTCCGATAAAAAGTGGAAAAGTGGTCAATCTTGTCCAGAGCAATAATTAACTCGTCTTTAACGACTTTGGATACACCCGGTTCGGTGAGTAATCGTTTAATCGGTTTAATGGGCCATAATAATTAACTATCGATAATATAACCTTGCCTTAGTTATTAACGTATTAATATTGTAATTAGAAATAAGAGTCGATAGTAGGTATTATAAATATATGAAAAGGCAATTTAAAAAGGTTATGTATCGAAATATATATTCTTAGAGAATGTTGAAGATCTTCGTCATTGAACTCGAATTTATATATATATATAGGGATGTCCCAGTTTTCTTCTCATCACTTTATATAATATTATGATATTTTTGAATATAAATAAAAAAAATATGTCATATAAATATAAATCTTTTAAAAAATTTATTAAAAAATTATGATAAGAATACAAAAAAATGAGAATAATAACTTTTCGAGATTAATTGGGCTTGCGCCATTAAACTTTTTATGTCTAGGGAATTTTGGAAGAATAGGTTACATCAAACAATAATTAATACTAATATCAAAAATTAAATAATTAATTTATTGAAATAAAATGAAATCAAGTTGAACATCATAGAATAATAAATTCCAAAAAATTTTATTTTAATCGTTGTCAATCTTGAAAGATAATTTAAGTTTTTTAAATATTTTTTTTTATGTATAACATTTAAATTTATCAATTTTATTCATAAATTAAATTTTCTTTTTTTAATTTTTGTTTAAATTAATTCGAAATTAATAAAATATAATAATTCGAAAATAAATATTTCTATAAATAAAAAGAAAAAAAATTTGAATGACAAAATGAATATGATAGAAACATTCATATTCTTCATTGATAAATTGATACTTGTATCAGTTCATATCGAATCGTAACTCAAAACAATTTATTCCGAGTTCACAATGTTCCCGTTGAATTTTAAATGAACACTCTTATCGAAACTAATAAAAATGCAACTGCTCTGTCTGGTTTCGTTCACATCGCATAATAGAGAAATGTGCTTTAAACAATAAAACATTTGACGGATTAATTATATTAGTTCTCAGATTTATTGATGTTATTCGTATAATCTTTAAGAAAAAATGCACTTATGTATATTTAATTGATAATTTTTATTTGATATATTAATGAGAAAAAGATATAAATCTTAAATGCATAATGTTGCAATCGTAATTCGATAATCACTAAGTTAAGTTGTTATAAAAATTTTTTAAAATTTTATTAAGAAAATTTCAAATAATCAAATATTGTTGCTTTTGTTGATATTATTGACTTGCTCTTATTTCATTATGCACGTGATTATGAATGAGGTAATATTAATGGAATATTATATTTTGAATATTTATTAATTTAACTTTGTATGTTTTCTAATTATATTTGCCAAATATTTTTTTACTCTTATAACTATTTTTAGTAGTCTTTTTTTTTATTCTTGATTATAAAATATTTTTAATTCCAAAGATAAAATAATTAAAAAAATCGAAATTACTATTTTTGTTTAGTATTATTTTACAGTCTAAGATTAGGAAGAAAATTTTTCAATCGTCTTTTTTTGGATAATGATTTAAGAAGAACTTTTACGTGAATTGATCGCATCGAATTATTTAATATTCAGTTATAGGATTTCGTTAACAAAGCAATGCATACAATGGCGTTTGACATCGATAAAACATAGCCATTAAGGTAAGCTTTCATTAACGTGATGAAGAGAAACGCGACGTAACATAAAACATCGATCGATCGATCGATGAACGTTCGCGTCGCTGACCCACGACTTCCTTTCGATCGCCGCATCAATGATTTACGAGACTCGAGGCAGATTAATTGCCGTACATTTTTAACGAGGCTCGATGCTTCTGAACCGATGATTGTCCGCTTTTATCGCGCTCCTGCATCCACCTTGCCATTATCCTATATCGAACATTTTTAATTTCAAGCTTTTTTTTGTTTTCATGAATTTTCCTACTTTTTGAAGATCTTTTGAAAATTTGTAAAATTTGAATTATAGCAATGTATTTTAATAATTTAGTTAGAAAATATGATAAATAAAATTGTCATTGTCAAAATGCTAATTCGAAAAGAGGTAATTTTAAATAAAAAGATAGAAAAACGAAATTATAAATATTTGAATATGGGAATAGATTTTGACAATTTTTTCATTTTTATTATTATAATACAATTTTTTTTTTTATAACTCTTTTAAATCTTCTGAAAATTTTTTAGAATTTAAATTTCTATAATAGTATCGTGTATCACAATAATTTTGCTTGTCAGGAAAATGATGATATAATCTGAAAAAGTGAAACGAAATTATGAATTTTTAAATAAGTAAATTTTGAAAAATTCTTCGTGTAAATGCATCATCAAAATTAAATTCAATTTATTTAATTCAATAAGCATGCATATCAATTTACCATTTCCATAATGGTAATCGTTCGTTACATTACATATAATTAAACACGAAAGTAGCCATCTGACTGAGAGACATAATTTTACTGTCGATAAACCTACTGAAATCCTATAATACCCGTATCATCGTTCAGGTAACATTCAATGCGATAGCAGAGGTAATACGGCGTAAATTATGAATACTCTGTGATTATTTCGCTTATCAAATTTTATAATAATTTTCCAAAATCCTATCAAAAAAATTTCGTAAATTTCACATCAAAATTATTTATTTCATATAATTCTTCTAACACTTTAATATTTTTATTTATTATTATTATTATATATATTTTTATACGATTTATTCTCTTTCTAGATTTTTTTGATCTTTCCGGATATAAATTTTCTTTCATTCGTTTTCTTTTTACTAATTTTTTTACGAAGCTAAAATTTCTTATACATTTTAGAAATTTTTTTAAAATCTCGAAAATATAAATTTTTTTCGCTTAACAAATAAGATCAACAGCTTAATCTTATCTATCCTCCATCATCCCCTTTCTTTCCGTCAAATTTCTCCTTTTTTTTTTTTTTTTTTAATCCATTCAACTCTTTATCATTTCCTCTCTTCTTCTTTCCTTTCCTGCATGTTTACAATTTCTTTAACTTTCTCTTTATCCCCTACCACCATCGCATTTCTTTTACTTCTTTTTCCTTCCCACCCCGCTACTCCTCAACTTGAGAGAATCCTCCGCACGCATTCCTTTCTCTCTTCTCTCGAGTCTACAAGCCCCGAGTAAGCACGCTCTCGTTTTCTCGCATGCACGCGTACCATGAATGTGGTGTCGCTCCCCGTATCGTCCCTATCCCCCAGCAACTTCGTTAAGAGGACTCGAGCCGCGTTCTGCTCCTCCGTGAAAATCCCATGCCCCGGCTCGTCGCGAACAGGTTGATTCAACAACGCGCACCTTTTCCCTGCCTGGAAAACAACGATCCGCTCTCTTACCTGGGTGTAAAGTGGTCTGGGTATTTATGGATGTTTAAGAACGCGAAATAATGGCCCCGAGATAAAAATACTTACACGATTGCGTATCGTTTCGAACGGGGCACGGTCGAACGATACGCCACGAAGATATATGTACTCGCGTGTATTTTATTCCGCAAGTAATTCGAAAGCGTTCGATGTCACATAAATCTTGCGTCGCGATCTGGAAAGATTAGTTACAGATGTATGGTTTGGAAATGCGGATAGATGTGTTCTATACGTGTCCTCAATTCATAAGTATTAAGACATAATATTAGAAAATGGGATAAAATTCAGTCAACTTTTATGTTTGTTTTTCCACGAATATTTAAAATTGTTAATTTCTTTACTAATGCTTGTTTAATTATAATCTATAATTATAACCTAACCTTTAATTATAACCTCAAAGTTGGCAGAAATCTTGGCATTTATGAACGAAAGATTCAGAAAAAAAAGTTTGATTCCAACGATATGCATTATTTTTGACCTAATTGTCTCGTATTCTAAGGGTTAACACATCATTGATCGACCACAAATGATTGAATCCACCGGTGCGGATCACTTTTAACTTAACCATTTCAGTATTGCGAGTCCCATACTGTAAGGGTTAACGCATTGTTAACTGACCATAGATGATTGAATCTATTGGCATGGGTCACTTTTGACCTAGTCATTGTTCTGCATGTTCGGTACTCTAAAGGTTAACACATTGTTAACTGACTAAGAATATTTATGTTTGCTCGTATGCGATTATTAAAGTACAATTTTTTTTAAATTATTATTATTCGATTATTTATATCGTATACACATATACTGATATTCTTTAACAGAGAGATATGAACTACGTCGTGAAACATGTTAGATACGACATCTCCTTTTTAGCAAAACTGGTAATAAAGTTAATGGTTTAAGTATGAGAAATATCTTGGATGTGTTTTATAGATAATACAAACAAGGAATGCGAGATAAAGTTGATTTATGTAAAATACAAAATCGCTGTGACGTTTCTTAAATTGATATCGTCGATTATTATTAAAATTATATCACAGATATTGTCTAAATCATTATGATTTTATGTAATTTTGAACTTTCTTTTTGAAAAGAATTTAAGAATTTCATAGCTTTTTGTCATTTTTTTTTTATGCAAAGAAATAGAAAATATTTTGGCATATTTAATTTTTATTCAATAGATTTTAATTCTTTTTAATATACATATTTATTTGTTACATGTATTATTATAAAAAAATTATTATAAATATACTTATAATTATAATTGTATACTTTTTGAATTGAAATTAGAAAAATTATTTATTTTGTTGATTCATTTATTCATTTTTCAATTTATTCTTTCATTTTGAGACAATCAATTTCATTAAATAATCAATATACTTAGAAACATATTATTATAAAATACATCTTTATTATAAAATATCTTTCTCAAAGCTTTATACAATACAAAATTGTTTAATATCTTGATTCTAACGGGTGTGATATATTTGCAGCAAATTCAACTTTATATATTTGAAATGCTTGCGTAATTACGAGTCTAACAGGAATTAAACTGCTATGTTAATGCTTTCCTGTCCGCTTTTATCAATTCTTGGCTTTCTTCTTTCTCTACACTGGAATATCCGTGGCTAGCGAACGTGTGTACCGCAGAATTTCAGTGAGTTTATCGGCAGCGAAGTTACGATAATGTTTTCTGGTCAGGTGGAAGCAGACCGCTTTGCGCTTCTCTACAAGGCCAACAACAGTAGTAAAATAATGAAATTATATTTAACATTTTACATCAGTTTTCTTTTTATTTATTTGTATCAAATAATGTTTAAATAAAAATTTATTAAGTTGATGCATGATGAAATATTTTTCAATGTTTGAATTCGACGGAATAATATTATTTAAATTATATTGTTTTGTCATTAATGATGATCAATCACATTATAAAAGAAATTTATCATAAATATATTTATATAATAAAAATATTATATAATAAAAATATTAAAATTTGATTATTGGTTATTATGAATAATCAAATTATTAAAAATTTGATATTTGAAAAATATACAGATATTGTCGTAAAATTAAGTAGTAATTAAATTAAAAAAATTTTTAAATTCAATTTTCTCAAAATTTCAATTATTAAACTCTTTGTATCCTTGACGAAATATTTTACAACGCGAGAACAGAAACAAAGAAAACAGAAATAAAGAAAAATTTATTTTTAAAAATAAAAATATATTCTAGCATCAATGATTTCTTTGAACGATATCAGTTTTTTAATGAAAAGATACACGAGATATCTCGCTTAAAGCATCATACAAACGACATTATATCGCGAGATAATTTCATAGATGCGAAAGGGTTGAACAATTTTATTCGATATTTTCAATTCCATGTAGAATTGCTTCATGTTTTTCCACGTAGAATTATCTTATTCTCGATTGTATCATTCATCGCGGAACGTCCTGCATAAGTAAATAGAGAAATAACTAGATAAGTTATCAAAATAAATTTATATTCATATAATGCGTTAAAAGCTTTTACTCATAAAATTGTTAATTTAATCATCGAAGAAATCTTGAATACCTTTCAAGAATTCAATAAAACCTAAAATATCGTTTATTCAGAAAATTGTTTCGCCATTATCTATGTAAAAATCTGAAAACAATAATTCAAAAATTTAAAAAATTATAATATTATAATTTTGAAATAATAAATTTGATAAATTTAGAAAATGATTAATCAATTATTGCAAGAATCAAACAAATAATACAAATAATCAGAAATTTTTTTACTTTAAAATATCGATAGGAAAAGAATTAAAGAAAAAGGATTAAAAATAAAAAAGAAAAAAGACAAACAATGTATTAAACATCAAATAATCGAAAAAAATAAACAATAAAATGAAATAAACATTGTTACTCCATGCTAGAATAAAACTTTTTTATTAGCAAGATTAACAAAATGGCAATGTCATCACAATAGAAGGCGCGCTCTCTAGGCGACAATTGAAATTACAATGTTCCCATGATGTTAAGGATTTTTACTTAATTCATCATTACGAGTTAGAGAATTCTTGAAACTTAAAAAATCTTTTTCTTTGTTTCGATGCCATCTCGTGTGCGCTTTTAATATTAGATCAACGATCTCTTTACGATCGTTATAGCCAACGTGGTACCATCCAGCTGCGCAAGGATCAACGATCACCGACGAGAGGACCCAACTCCATTCAGCAACAAATGTAGCGGTGCTTGCACTACCGCCGGTCATGTCTTGTTCAACACGCCAGCGAGATACTTTATTGCTGATAATTCGAGGCTGGTCCCGCGAGAGACGTGGTGAAGTACGCCATTTACATTCCTGTCGTGATCACAAATGCATTTTATACACCGGCTAATATTCTGCCCGATCGCGTGGGCTAGATAGACGGGGATATACTGGGTGCTTCAAGTATACTAGGAAGTTTGACACGTTCAACTTGTACGTCTTAAATCTGAATTGACTCATGTACTTACACATATATATATACACTATACACTGGATGAAGAAGAAGATAAAGAGACAAAATATTTTTCTTTATATTATAAAAAAGTTGTTTTTTATAATATTCTTTAATATTTTTATTAATTTTATTAATTGCTTTTATCCGAATTGTTAAAATTTAATTCGTAAAAATTTCAAGAATTAATTAGTTTTTTTTTTCCATATATATTTCGGATATATTTCAATTTCGGTAAATCTAAAAATCACTAGGAAAATTTATTTAATATCATATAATATCACTAGGAAAATGTTACATAACCTTAACCTTCATACGTATAATATTACTTGTACGTCATACATAAAAATAAAAATTTATAAACGATATAACAAATTTTATTAACACGACACTGTTATAAATGCTATTTAAAATTTGTGCTACTAAATAATCTATGTATATACAAATTCTCTTCACGCATAAAGGATATTACATTTAGATTTTTAGCTTTTTCTCTAAGATAATTTGCCAACATTATTTCGCAATTGATGACAGGATACCATGTACTTTTAAAAAGCTCCCGTTCGCGAGCATGTTTAATTTGTTTCACGATCGTTCCACTAAAATTATAGCAAGCCGGGATCAAAAGTTACTAAATTTACGACTCGTTACTCCAACGGTCAGCATATATTAACTAGTCGCAGCGGGCAACTCTGAAGCGCAACAGCCACCCGTCGTGGCCGAGCAAGGTGTAATGCAAGAATCGATGCGCCATAATCGAGCCCAGTGCTTTTTGATTTAACAGCGCACCGTCCCCTTAATGAACGACGCGCCTCCTTTCGCCTCTTTTAAAAACCAGTAGCGGAACTTTTTGAGCCGCGATCGGGTTACCCAAGATCGTTCACTCGGCGAACAAGAGCCGGGGAAATTTTTTTATTGTGATACTCCCGTCATCGATTACCAAGGCCGGCGATATAACGCGATTATTCCAAAACGAGATCGTGGTTATTTGATTTGAATAACAATGTTTTGCATCTTGAAGATAAATAGAGAGATTAATAAATTTTGAATATTGCAGAGAGAGAGAGAAAGAGAGAGAAAGAAAAGTTGATATTAACAACTCTTAGTAAAAAAAATACTAACAACTTTAAGTAAAAAAATAACTAGTAAATGTTATTCGTAACTATTACAATTGATCCGCTATAACCTCAACCATTCGATGTCACCATTTAAGATTTGTGGTTATGCTTTGAATAATACATTATTGAAATAACTTTATTCTTAACCTCAACTATATTGACTATAAGATAAGATAAGGAGAAAAATTCGAACGATCGTTAATCCTCGGAATAGGATTGTCCAAATCTATTTAATTAGCGTTATCATCGACTGTTAAATCGTCTAAGTTTAATCAAAAAAAATGACCACGATTAAACCACGAGGATTAATTCGAATGTTGAAGGTTCTATTCTTATCTCCTTTTTCTGTGAATCAGAATAAATTGTATAGTTCAAATCAATAATAGGTGTCTCCCAACATTCAATTAAGAGTGGCATATCTGTATTGCAATCAAGACGAGGATCCAATCATAAATACAATATTGTCGTTATACTTCTACTCATCAGCACAGGCACAGTTCTCGTGTCGCTGTAGCGTAACAGTGGAAAATGAAAAGTTATAGTCGTTTACCGGTCGTAACTCAAGCCTGTAGTTTCTGTTAACCAGTCGCCGTGCAGCTCGAATCCCCAGAATCCCGTGTGCAAGAAACCGAGAGGGACTCTCGGCGAGTCGCTTCAAGGAGCAAGCAAGGTGTAATGTCGAATCGATGTACCATAATCGTCCGGACTTAGGTGTCTTTCGTTCCAAGTCTACGGCGTGCTTGCAACCCACGGAACTGGTATACACATATTATAGTACGCGTGCTCATGTACTCATTTCGTATACCGGGTGAGGCACTCGATGCTTATCGTTTCGATTATTTTTCTCTGGTGAAATGGATTTTCAGAGTTCTTCGTGATTCCCCGAGATACGAGATACGGGAAAAATGTGAGAATTATTTACTCACTTATTTATTTCGAATGATGGATTTTTAAAACTTTGACATCACGTTTTCCTTTTGCATTTTTCTTATGCATAATTGTAATATTTGAAATATACAAATATTCCCTTCTGTAATTCCTTTTAAACTTTCGTTTCGATCGTTTATATTTATATTTAAAATTTAATCGATAAAAATGATGACGAGACGATTTGACGCATAATATTTACAAGATCGAAATTACTTTGCAGGCAAGATGGCGGCCTGCAGCGGCTTACTCATTATTCTGCGATTACTTCTCATCGCCGTGGCGTCGACCGTGCCAGGAACATGGATGTGAGTATTCATTTCCCCTTAAAATTACCAACATGTTAAAATTAAGTTTCCTATATATAGGTAAGTATAAAAATTCCACCTAAGGGAATAATTCCGCGTGAAATTCTGTATCCCACGGAAAATTACCTAATTACTCTCGGGTGTTATCTTCAGGAGAAACAAATCGAATGGACACGGCCAGCCTATCAAACGACGATAATCGATAAATTAATATGTCGCGAGGAGAAAGGCCTCGATTCTTTACCCTCATCAAATTCCAGCAAAAATTGCCCACGCAACAACTGCCGTAATTTATAGCTCTTTGTACATACACCGAGACGAAATCACGTCGTGGGAACGCGATCGAAGGATTTTTCATACCGTTCCATTCCTCTTTCCCGGCCATATCCCCGCCAACGGTGTGTCTAATTTCTGAATCGAGCCTAGTCGCCCCTAAATTCCACCCTTGCACGCCCATGACAAATCACTGAATGGTCCCGAGATCGGGATACGAGTTTTTCATCGAAATGGAATTTCCCTTCTATGCCCTTTTATGCCCTGCAATCGTTTTAGAAAAATCATCGAGGTGATCTGATCTGATCAACGTTCGCCTCTCTTTGAATCTTTTTTTCTAAATTTCTTCTTTTATTCTTCTATTTTTTAATCATAGATTATGGAAAGTTTATTATAAGATATTTATCAGTTAACTAGATCCAAGCACACATGAGATGTGGAATAATGATAAAAAATTGTTTTGGAAAATATGTGTCGTCCAAGTAAATTTAATATTGAAAATTAATTTTTTTCTAAATTTCTTCTTTTATTCTTTAATTATAGATTATGGAAAGTTTATTATAAGATATTTATCAGTTAACTAGATCCAAGCACACATGAGATGTGGAATAATGATAAAAAATTATTTTGGAAAATAAAGTGTCGTCCAAGTAAATTTAATATTGAAAATTAATTTTTTTCTAAATTTCTTCTTTTATTCTTTAATTATAGATTATGGAAAGCTTATTATAAGATATTTATCAGTTAACTAGATCCAAGCACACATGAGATGTGGAATAATGATAAAAAATTGTTTTGGAAAATAAAGTGTCGTCCAAGTAAATTTAATATTGAAAATTAATTTTTTTGTAAATTTCTTCTTAGTTCTATTCTTTAATCATAGATTATGGAAAGTTTATTTTAAGATATTTATCAGTTAACTAGATCCAAGCACACATGAGATGTGGAATAATGATAAAAAATTATTTTGGAAAATAAAGTGTCGTCCAAGTAAATTTAATATTGAAAATTAATTTACTAAAAAAATATTGGAATTAAATGAACACTTTTAATCACTGATGGATGTAATCTCTAGTATTGCAGCTTCTCATTTTCAAAAAAATAATGGTAATAGATTTTGATCGATGATAAATGATCATTGGCCCCATCCAGTCATTACAGCGGCCTTCTTCTTCTTCTTCTAAATCCCTTTGCCCAACCGATCGTGAAAATGCCTAATCACATGGGCGGGACTCAAAGGATCTCCATAAAAGTTAATCCTTCTTATATGGGCTTAACTTGAGAACCCGATGGATTTAATCTCGCTCCCTTAATTTTATCTTTACCACGGTCTAATTAGATCTGAATTTTTAAACGATCCTCCAAAAAGCTTTTAATAAATATACATTTCCAAATCCAGGTTATGTACGTTATACAGATAACATTCGAACAACAATCTTGCTTCTTAGCTTGGAAAATTAAAAATCAAAGCCATGTTTCCTGTCTGCTCTAATCCTTTGCCACGAAACATTAACATTATACGAATTATATAATTTTGAAACAATTGGATGTTCAATTTTGATCTTTATATTTTTTAATAAACTGATTAATTGATGAATTAATTATAAATATGTATCATTATTCTGCAATTACTTCTCATCGCCATGGCGTCAACCGTGCCAGGAACATGGATGTGAGTATTCATTTCCCCTTAAAATTACCAACATCTTAAAATTAAATTTCTTATATATCCCTAGATACGTTAAAAATTCTAAGGGAACAATTCCTCGTGAAATTCTGTACGAGTTTTCCATCGAAATGGAATTTCCCTTTTATATTCTTTTATGCAATCGTTTTCTCTTTTTTTTGTGAATTTTTTCTTCTATTCTTTAATTTATTTTTTTTAATTTCTTCATTCGTAAAGTGTAAAAATTTAAAACGAATGTGAGAGATCGTAATATATTAGAACGAAATTCTTCATAGACGATCGATTTCGTTCCCAAGCAAAATATTATCAATTATTAATAATCGGCTATTGATAAGCGTTATATTTAAAATTAACGATGCGAACTTATGATCGGGAGTGTACACTGCTTTAACAAGAATTCTAGCATGAATATATCGTTCCATTCACTGCATACGATACACTTAAATCAACCGGCGAGCCGAGATTTTACAAAAGCAAATTAATTACACACGTGCCCGGGACGCGATATACCGTAACTTGTGCAAAGTCGTCGTTGTGTCCACGCACGATAAAGCAATTTTCTCGAAAAAATTCCACGTTACTCTCTCGCTTAATCTACGCCCCGGTATCTACGTAACAACCCCTTAAGTCAAGACTAAGAGCCGGCATCCAGATTAGATTCCGGATCCAGGCGCCGATCGCACGTGTGTTTAAGTCGACGAACGAATTGATTCACACCAGGCCATTTCCAGGCAACATTATTTCTCCCATGAATCGGGGCGATATCGAAACGTATGGATTAAAGGGTTGTCCCCGCGTGATGTTTCTCTCTCTCCCATATCAGAGTGGAGAGTGTGGCATCATTGCCGTTGGCCGCGTTGCTTCACTTTTCTACACTAAACTAAACGTCGGTGTAATGGAACAGGATACAGAATAAAAATGGAAATGATTCTCGAATTATTATTTTCGAAGCGAATAATCGATCCGATCGAATCGTGAGAAATAACTTCTGATTAATTTTTTTTCCCGTTGGTTGGAGAGAGAGAGAGAGAGAGAGAGAGAGAGAGAGAGA